GAAGCAGACTTTATGCTGTTGAAGCTAGAGAGGTGAGCAGAGTAAGTCTGATTCCCTGTACGTAAGGACTTCTCTGTTGACATCCACCCCTTGGCGCTCAAATGATTTTATGCAGTTGTGAGCGCCGTAAAACCTCTACTAAAACTATAACAGAACCATTTAAAAAATATTGGCATCTGTGGTGTAACGGCTAGGCGCTTCGCTGTCACACGCAGGGGACATAGGTTTGATTCTCAAGCGAGGAGAATTTTTATTGAGTAACTCGGTCTTTCTGCAGGGATGTAATATCCCTCTCAGTTGGGGTTGGGCCTTACAAGCAAGGTCGGGAGCCCGGCTCCTAAATGATCTAAATTGTGTCAATATGGGCGTAATAAAACTTCTACATTTCTTTTCTTTTTAACTTAAAACTTTGTTTAAAACTTATCAGCTAATACCTTCCTAGTGCTCTGGTGTTGTTTGCTTCTTCCCTTCCAGTCTAACATCTATCTTCTTTAGCTCCCCTCCTTTTTGTGTTTGTTTCTCTCTTGTAACACCTCTAATCTTCGGGACTTATATGACCTTATTGTGTTGCGAGTGCCGTAAAACACTTACTAAAACAAATACCTTCCCTCGGCTGTCCAATGATATGGATGATGACTGTGATTGTGATATAAGCCAGACAAGAACGTCTGTGAGCACCAATGCCTGCTTTGGATCTGCAATACCTTAAAGATTTTAGACACCAGAGGTATAATTGTGATGCTCTGCAGTGTCTCGTGTTGTGAGAGTCATCATACGGATGCCCTTAGTGGGTGGGATCGGGTCGGGTCGCGTCATGTCGATCGCCCGACTCGTCGCCTGAAAACAAACGCATTTTTTTGCTGGGCGACGAGTCGGGCAATCGGTTTGTGCCACCATAGTGGCTCTGCGCCCTCAATCTGGCTAGCAAACCGACCCGAGCCGACCGGATCATACCAATGGGCACCCGGTATTAAGGTATCTTTTGCCTCCTCCATTCCACAGCAGCCCTAACCCCCGGGGTGGTGCCACTGATTGAAGTGTCTTTAGGCCATTCCAAA